ATCTTAAACACCCACCTCTTTGGTGACAGCCCCTGGGTCTTGAGGAGTTGAATAGCTTTAATTTCTTGCCCTTTGTCTCAGGAATGCGGTTGGTTTTGATTGGCATCTTCTATGGGGTCTGAAGATAAGGCTTTAATTGCTGTCAGTGTTTAAGGTTTAACAGGACTTGGTGTCCTTTTTAGACCCAGGTGTTAGAGTCCTGTAACTCAGTGTTAAAAGAACTTGAAAACCATGTACAGGAAGATACATGGAAGTAATACACCTTAATTCTAAAAAAAATTTTATCTCAGTTTTTTTTTTCTAAACCAAAACTTAATATGACAACTTGATCATATGAAAGTTTCTGAGTTTTAATTTTTTTAATATATATCCTCTTATTGTGACTTATACTGGTTTTTTTTAAAAAAACCAGTTATTTTAGGACTAAATTTACCATGTAAGATTCTATCTTATAAAATTATTTCTCTTTAAGCCTTTTTACCTCAAAAAAGAAATACTCTTTATTTTTATAACTTTCTTTACATCTTTTTTATTCCCGGTTCCTTTCACCTTGTTCTATATATAACCTTTAAATAAGCTTTGAATTAGACAAAACTGGTTCACCTCTTTTTTTTTTTAAAAAAAAAAAAAAAGACATTTTTTTGTCTAGCAAGAATGTTCTTCTAAAATGTATTTATTGGAAAATACCCAAATAATGCAATATCTATTATTTAATTTAACTTTATATTCTAAATTATGACCAGTTTGTCTACAAATATTTATCCCTTTACATTTGCCTAATTGTTTTAATTGTTTTCCTAGATTATTCACTAAAACTATGATAGTCATTTAAGTTATAAAACCGCCATTGCAAAATTATAACTGAGACCAGTGAAAAGAGATTTGGCCTAACTGACTCAATATTGCTTTTAACCTCCAAGCTGTCCTTGTTCATTCCTGGTCACAAGCAGAACTAACTTTGGGAGGAACTTCGTTTATATTTTAGCTTTGAAACTGACAATAACAGTCTTTCCCAAAACAAACCTCCTTACTGTCTGTGGACTAGACTACCTAAGGCCACCAGATTAGAAGTTAAGGTAATCAGTAAATTCAAGATGCAGCTATTTTCATTAAACCCTTATCAATATCTTATTAAAAATTACAAAAGCAAAGATGATTCTGTTTTGGGCTGGGTTTATAGTTTTGCAACCCCTATGCCAAATTTTGACACCTTACAGTATTTGACAGGGATAAGTATGAAATTCCTTCATTAATAAATGTAAACAAAAATGTATGCTGGGCAATTCTTAAGGCATTTCTAATAGTACTTTACCAGTAATTTTAAGGCTAGCTTATTTATTAAAGATTTTACTGGCCAGGCATGATGGCTCATGCCTGTAATCTCAGCTCTTAGGGAGGCAGAGACAGGTGGATCATGAGGTCAGAAATTCAAGACCAGCCTCGCCAACATTGTGAAACCCCATCTCTACTAAAAATACAAAAATTAGCAGGATGTGGTAGCAGGGGCCTGTAATTCCAGCTACTTGGGAGGCTGAGGCAGGAGAATGGCTTGAAGCTGGGAGGCAGAGGTTGCAGTGAGCCCAGATGGTGCTGCTGCACTCCAGCTCAGGCGATAGTGCGAGACTCCATCTCAAAAGAAAAATAAAAATTTTACCTAAGTTACAGAAACTGTAAAATGCATTTGAATAGTCTTTTTTAGTATATAATTTAAGAGCTTTTGTTTTTTAAGCCAATTAGTTTTTTTTTTTTACATATTGTTAGTAGTGAAACATTCTGTACACATCACATAAATATATATAAAAATGTATTAGACATGCCAATGGAAGTACATTTATAGATTTATAAAGACCTCCCCCCACCTATTTTTCCCCATCTTAGACTTTCAGATTCTTGATAACCTGTTTCACAACCCTAGGCAGTTGTCAGCTAAGAAGCCTTAAATTTGCACATTAAAGGAAACAAGTGAAAATCAAATAGCAAAATTTACATCATAAAGTACAGAAAGAAAAAGTCTGGTGGTGCTAGAGGGAGACACTTTTATTTCTCTTTGAGCCAAATTAAACATAAAATTAAACTATACTCTTCCTTAAAAACCCGAGCGGCCTCTGTTGCAATAACTATTTTAATTCTTTAAAAAATCAGATGAAAATGGAATTCAGTTAACTGAGAAGAAAAAAAAGAACTTTTACTCAACAAAAAAAGACAAGGCTTTAGGAGAGAAAAACAAAAAACAAAAACATGAAGCCGTTTCAAATACAAACATGCACACATACACACACACACACATCTTGGATATTAGCCTTTTAATTAAGCTGCCTTGTTTGAGCTCCTTTAAAATTTTTTTTTTAAATCTTATTACCATATTTCTTTAAGCTAGGGCAAAATGCTGTTAAACTAACAATGATCACACAAATTATATGATTTCTGAGCACTCTAAGTGGAAATTAACACCAGCTAATTGTTAAATGCTAACTTTGGTCATTTAAAGGGAATTTGCAAGACAGAATCCCAAACCAGTTTCTTAGCTACTGTAGACTGCTCTCTACCAGCCTGGAGGCAGGAAAAAAAAGGTATCTTCCCTGTTGGAAGTGAGATCAAACTCAATAAAGGAGTTACCTGCCTTCCATCATCCTGGAAGCAGGAAAACTTGCCTTCCTATTAGAAGCAAGTAAAACTAAAAAAAAAAAAAAAAAAGAAATAAGAGGAGTTGTATAGCAAAACAAACTTTAGATCTCGACCAAGTTTTGGGAGATCAGGGATTCTCTGGAGAGGGTGCTCTCAGACCTCAGCAAACTGTTTTGAGCCATAAGGCTAGTTCATGCTGGTACCAAGCACTGATAGAAGATTTGTCGAAGGTCGGGGGCATCTCCACTCACAGTCCCCTCTGGTTACCAAAATGTGAGTCAATAAAATCTGAGACAGGTCTCAGTTAATTTAACGTTTACTTTGCCAAGAATGAGGACGTGCTTGTGACACAGCCTCAGGAAGTCCTGATGACATGCGCCCTAGGGGGGGGGGGGGGGCACAGCTTGGCTTTATACATTTAGGGAGATGTGAGATGTCACTCAATGTATGTAAGAAGTACATTGGTCTGGAAAGGCAGGACAACTTGAAGCAAAAACGGGAAGGCTGGAAGTGGGGAGGGAGCTTCCAGGTCATAGACAGGCGATACACAAATGGTTATGTTCTTTCCAAAGGAGGCAAATCAGACATGCATCTATCACAGTGAGCAGAGGAGTGACTTTGAATAGCATGGGAGGCAGGTTTGCCCTAAGTAGTTCCCAGCTTGAGTTTTCCTTAGTGATTCTGGGGGCCCAAGATAATTTCCTTTCACCAACCCATTTGAACTCTTTTAGAAAAGGAAGTTTATCCCCATTCCCGAGTTTTACGTGAAGGAGTACCTCCTAAAGCAAAGCCTAAACAATGTCAACTTTGATTCTTTTAGTAGCATCAATTATTTATAGAGGAGGCACTGCTCTTTCGTGTGAGGCACACACTGTTAGGCTGTGTGCTTTTTACAGAGTCTGTTTCTCTTTGCTGTTCCTACTGTATGTGGATTAAACTCTGCTCTCCCTCTGGCTATAACAGCAAGTCTCCTGTAGCCATCACCCCAAGGCAAAACAGATGAAATGTGTGACAGGCTGGCTGAAAGGGATTTCATTTCCTGGCCATCTATGGCTCTTTTCTTAGGGTGAGAAATTATCCTTTGGACTTCAAGTTTCCACAGTTGATATCTTTCACAGAGTGCTAATGGTAAGGGTCCCCCATAAAACTGCATTTGGGATTCTTTTCTGTTTGTTCCATAAATGTGCTTTGTATTTATCTGGAACAAAGCTGACATTCAGGGAGTCAGCTAGAAAATTGGTTTGTGAGAATTATGGATACAAATGCCATGAACACCTTGAAGCTATCAAACCCCACTAAGCATTGAGTCTTCAGTGGCCACTTTGAGAAGCTGAAATGAGGCTGCCTGCCTCCCTGTTGGGGCAACCTGTCATATGGTGGCTGTTATTTATTGACTGCTGTTTGCACATTCCTCTCTGTGAAGGAGAGCGGGAGGAACAGCCTGACTGGCCCACACAGTTGCTTTGCCATGATAGGAACATTAAATCTGAATGAAAGAAGATATAGTGCAAGGAGAGGACAGAGGAGAGGTGGGCCTGCAGGACAAGGCAAACATGAACTGTTCCCACTTTCCCAGCTGGGAAACAAGGGGCAGAAGCAGTTTAATGACGGGTCTTTTAGATTCATGGGCCACCTGGGCTCTTGCAAGTTTGTTCTCCTAGAAGGGAGAAGGAGAGTGGGTAAAATATTTAGAATGACGATTTCCAGGAATTAAAGGGTATCTTCCTGAGTTTTGATTATATCACAGCAAAAGACCTAAGAACAGGAGTCTGCCCTATTCTGGCCCCACTCAAGCAAGATTCCCAAGCCCGCTACATGCAAGACCTTAGCCAAATGGGAATCTTACATGCCATTTTATTAAGATCTGTAATGAGCATCCACTAATACTCAGTGCCGAGCACCATCAGGGCTGAGTGAGAGAGTGCTGCTTGAGTTTGAAGTCCATGGAGGGCCGTTTATCCTTCTCTGTTTTTTCAGAACTCAGACAGTGAGTAGGGCCTAGATTTTGTGCCCTAGATGCCTCACCACACCTTCGTCCTGGCCTGGCTGGGATATTAACTTAGTCTGTCTTCAGAGCACAGCCTCTTACTTACCGAAATAGAACAGTGGCCACCGATGGCATGCACAGTTTGGAGGGAAGTGGCGTTAGAGTAGAGCAGAGGGGCTAGAAGGAAGCCCAGACTCATTTTTCCAAGAAGCAGAAGGCTCTGAGGCATCACTCTCTCCTTCTGGGTAAGAGGCTTCCTTGGCTCTGAGCTGGCTCAGAGCCTAGCCCCCATGCATGAATCCTTTATGAATCCTTCATGTATTGCCGTGATCCTGCCCACTGTGTCCTGCTGGTGGTCCTAAGGGTTGGTGGGTGTGTCCTGCTGCAGGTTCTGGATATCCTGTGCTCCCTCTGTCTCTGCAATGGGGTTGCAGTGAGAGCCAACCAGAATCTGATCTGTGACAACTTGCTGCCCCGGAGAAACCTGCTGCTGCAGACACGACTGATTAACGATGTAACCAGGTAAGGTCCCCACCATCATTCCAAATGCCAAGCATAGTTCTGCCTGTCTTGTCTCTAGGCAGGGAAAGAGGGCTGATCTGAACTCCAAAGTTGCCCACCCATAGTTTCCATGGTGATACAAGTACCAGGCAAATGTGCACTTCCGTATGACTAGAGCCCCCAAACCTTTTAGCAGAATTTCTCAAACTTTTTTATTTAATAACTGAGGATAGAGTATATGTAGCACCTGAGTGCTGAAGAATTTGACCTAAAGTGGCCTACCATGTTTTATTTTAAACTTTAATGCAACTCGTGTAACTTCACAATATATTCATAATTATTTTTATATACCAACTTTTTTCTATAATCTGTTCGTAGAATGGATATCCCAAGTGAGACCGTGGTTTCTTGCATCCTCTGGCGCATAATCATGTATCTCACTGCGGTCTGTGAGGATCAGGGTGAAGAGCAGGGGCCCATGCTGGATTCCTGGCTTGCTAGTCCATACTTGTGGCTGCACGTGAGTCATGTGAACTCACCGGGCTGGGACTAGGCAGATCGATTTTCTAGCCGCCTTCTACCTAGACCTACACTACTCCACAATGGCAAGAATAAAACCTTCCCTCTGAAGTGCAGAGTGGCCCACAGACCTGAGCTGTCACACAGACTTACTTTCTTCATGGGGCCAGCTAGATTTTTCTTTACCCACCCAAAACAGGGCATAGCTCCAGCCTAGGAACAGTGGGTTCTCCAGCCATCATCTAGCCCCAACCTAGTCCCCCAGTCATACTTGTCTCTAAGAGTATGATTCCAAACAAAAATCTAAGTGGTGTGTCTTAAGCTTTTAACCACTTTGCTGGATACATTAAAACCACTTGCCCTTAACAAGGTTGCCTAGTAATGACTTCTTAATGGTTTTAAGAGACCAGCGTTATTAATAATGCTTGGGTAACAAAGCTGCTGTACTGAAAATGAAGGTGCTTATACCAATTGGCCAGAAAATGGAACGCAAGTAATTTCTTTTTAACTTAAAGAAACAAAGATTTATCATCAAGCAACTCTGTATAATATTTGCAGCGTCGTTGCCCATGGTTAGTGCTCGGTAAACGTTGGTTGCCTTAAATGGAATATTAAAAGAGGCATCCTTCATGTTTTGTAATGAAAATGTTGTCCTGATGCCTCACGCTAAGAACTTGATCAAATGTTGAGGGTCCTAAGCTTTTTCAACTCTTTTTTTTGTTTTTTTTTTTTGGAGACAGGCTCTCACTCTGTTGCCCAGGGTAGAGTAAAATAGCATAATTATGGCTCACTGCAGCCTTGAACTCCTTGGCTGAAGCAGTTCTCCAGCCTCAGCCTCACAAGTAGCTTGGACTATAGGTACACACCACTATACCCAGCTAAGTTTTGTAAAGATGGCGTCTCACTTTGTTCCTCAGGCTGATCTCAGACTCCTGGCTTTTTGGGAACCCTCCCATCTTTTGAGTAATAAGAAGAACACACCATTGCTCTTGTCCTAGGTATAACTGGGCCATTGCCTCCTGTGGTCTGGTTCAACTTGCTTTCTCAGTTTTTAAGGGTCTGTAGACGCCACTTGCCCCATGTTTAATTTCAGTATGCGGCCAAACATCTTCCTGGGAGTCGCGGAGGGCTCAGCCCAGTACAAGAAGTGGTACTTCGAGTTGATTATCGACCAGGTGGACCCCTTCCTAACAGCAGAGCCCACACATCTGCGGGTGGGCTGGGCGTCGTCCTCAGGCTATGCCCCATACCCAGGAGGTGGAGAAGGATGGGGAGGCAATGGTGTTGGCGATGACCTGTACTCCTATGGCTTTGATGGACTTCACCTTTGGTCGGGTGAGTACCTTGCTAAAGCTTTGGCTCATAATCTCACTTACGGAGGCTTGAATTATTCAAGCTGAAATTGCCACTTTCCGTTGAAATAATACAGACTCAAGAGTCTCAACTAATTAAACGATTAGGTGGAAAACAGTATCAGGTTGAAATAAGACTCATTTATACCATTACTCTGACATTTCCTAGCTATGTGATCTAGTGCAGATCACCTCTCAAGCTCATTGTATCTGCATGAGCCTTACTGTGTGGAATCGTTAGGATTACATGAGCAGAGACCCAGCTTTTATTCACTGGGCAGTGAGTTATGTACTTACTGTTCATTTTTCTCTTATTTTATCCTCACAGTAACCCCTTAAGGTAGAAAATATTGACCTCCTATGACAAATGTGTAAACAGAAGCATAAACTTGGTTCAGTAATTTATTCAAAGTCATACTGGGAAGGATCCAGATTTGACTGCAAGTCCATGATTTTGTCAACACAGCCTGCTGCTTCATAATACAGTTTATAAAATATCTGGGTCCGTACCTAACACACAGTAGGTGCTAAACTCTTTAAAAGAATTCAGGTCTTCCTTTTTTTTTAGATAAATAAATGATGCTTTTCATCCATGGCCTGTGCCTGTTGAGGAAGATCTTGGCTTCTGCTTGGGTGAAAAAATGCAAGACTCTTAGGCTTTCATCAAAAAGAAGAGCCCTACCTCTCCCGTCTGTTGTCCAAAGCGTGTATTTTCCGTATCTTTTGCAAAACTGCAATTGGAGACGTCATGTCCCTTATAAAAATCCCTTACGTAAGCGTGCCTGTTACATAAGTAACCATGACACACACTCTTCCTCAAATCCGGTATGCAGGAAAAGTTTCTCTCTACAAACCTGTATATTTTCTTCTGTAACTGGTAACTATATAACCTATCACATTTTCTTCCTTCCGTTAGCTTTCTAGTTACAACCTAATTGCCTGATGTTGATAAGATTAAGTCAGCTCAGGTCCCAATGACATATTTCTTTTCATTGGTCTTTATTTTCAGTTGGTCCTTATGGAGAATGGATTTTTTTTTATTGCTGTTATTTTAGGAGCTATGTTACATTCAGTGTCAACATTGTAAAACTTTTAGGAATGCTATAAACATTTATTTGTATATTTACTGATCCTGGATCCTTTTCCAAGGGGAAAGAATGAAAAAGTCTCTGTTCATGTTCTTTGTGTCCCAGAGGACAGTGTGGTCCTAAAATAAGTGGATTCAAATGGCAGGATAATGGGGCCATGTGAAGGGAAAGTCTTATCTTGTGCTGTCACCCTCCCAAGTTAGCCTTCCCTAATTCTTCATGGAAGTGGAGCTTCCCTTGGTTCTCATACCCTTACCATGGAACCACTGAGTCTGTTGCAATAAAGTAGTGACCTTATGCTTAGGTTAGCATCAGATATCATAAGTCTCTCAGGAAACTGTCTCTGAAGAAATGATCTGAGAAGAAAGAATCCTTATGCTCATGGACGTTTGGAGCTCCTGAGTGTGGAAGGATTAAGTGTGTGGGAGGTTTAACAAGATTGACTTGTAAAAATTGTTCGACACTCCTGCTGACTGCTGCCTATCTCCCGCCAACTCGCTCCAAAGCCCAAGAATGTTATCTGGAGCCCGGCTACACCTGAAGAGGGCTCTGCGAGGGACTGGCTAAGAAAGTATGAAGCATACCTAGGCCCTGGGGTGAAGCAAATTGGACTTTTGTTTCAAAGAGAAACTAATCATTCTCAAAGGAAACCATTTATTTAGCCTTTTTCAGACTTATCAGCACTGCATGGGACACTTACTGTACTGCCGTATCCCTCTGTAGAATTTTGAGGAATGAATACATCCGTGAGTCAGAAGGCATGCAACCCCCTCATGGTGCATCGATAAAGCGCTGCTCTCTGTGCATTTCAGGACCTGAACATCCTGTGTAATTGTGTATCCTCCCAGGAGTATACAGTGCTCACCCTCTCCCTCATCTGTCCTGTCTCCTCTGAAGGCAAGGAAGCTGGGTGCTCCAAGCTCATGCTGAAAATCACTAGCAATGGCTCCTATGATTGGAGAAGTGGGAAGAAGGCTGGTGAATCAGCTTCTCAAAAACGGATTGTGACTCTCTGAAAGGCCTGCTCTTGATGGTATATTGCCATATAGGTGCACTCAAGGGATTTCATCCCTCAGTCTCCAGCATCTGATGAGACATGGAGAAACCAGGGTCTACAGTTTTTTATCTTTCATTCTCACTAAAACCCACAGCTTTCCTGGATTTGGGCATCATTCTGACTTCTCCAGCCAGCACACAGGGAACATATATCTTGCAGAAGGCATTGCAGTGTGTCAGGGCATGCTTCAGCTGAAGAAATAAAGTTTCTGTTAATGACTCCCACCAGGACAGCCATGAATTTCAGACTATCTGATGAAAAGGTAATTGTCTGATGAAGAAATGAAATGGAAATAACACTCCAACTTACTGCAGGAGAGAATGGTTGGTAGATAGGGGGATATATTAGAAGGTGGTTATGATAAATTATTCTCCTTTATTTGAGATTTAAATGCCAACGTCATTACCTTTAAAGTTATTCATGTGCATAAATTAAGCCACTGCCTTGAACTGGTCTTTACATACTTATTAAAGTAAAATAGATTTTGTAGTAGTTGGAAACGATTACAGTGCCTCTCTTTGTTAATGGAAAGTCAAGAATAAATAGCATAGCTTTGGAGTCATGCCTAGGTTTGAATCCTAGCTCTGCCACTTAATGGTTTTTTGTTGCTGTTGTTGTTGTTGTTGTTGACATTGGACAAATTACTTAACCTCTCAGAGTCTCAGTTTTCCTCTGATAAAATAAGGATAAGATTCTAATGAAATTTAAATAAGGCAAAAAATATAAAGTCCCTGACACACATTAGATACACAGTAAATATGAGTTACCTTCCCTAATCATCTATGAATTCCACTGTAGTTTCAAACACCAAATCCAGAGTCTTTGGTACTTCACTCAAGACCATGGGAATAGCCCAGTTATAGCTATGCCAGTGATATCTAAGGGAATAAAGAACCCCACTTTCATGCTGAATGAGAAATTCTCAAAGTGACATCCTGAAAGTATGAATGAGCTTTCTCTTTGTAGAGAAGAAGACAGCCTTAACAGGTCTTTTTAGCCATGGCAGCCTGGGAAGTCACTTTCCAGCATCAGCTGTGGGAACATCTCCCTCCTCAACTCTGCCTGACTCTCCTTACAGAGTCCAGGGTCAGCTCAGACACTGTGATCCGCCTTTTGGAGAAATGGCTCTTTTTTTGTGACGGCATCACTTTCTCCCTCTGGATGGAGCCTCAATGGGGCTTTCAGGATAGCAGTTGGAAGTGAATTCAGCTCAGGGCAGCCTACAGTATGTTACTGTCTAGGGGAAGTTTCACAGGTGGAAATCATATCTCTCTTTCCCTTTTAACCACTTTTTCCTCCTCAGAATTGAAATAAGCAAAAGAATTCACCATCCCGAGAGACGAGTGGTACAGAAGCGAATGAATGGAATAAAATTGTGTTTCCTGATTGACTAAGATACTGACTCATCAAGATAATGTATCTCTGCAGTCAGATTAGCACAAGGGGACTTCACTTGTGTCTCAGCTAAGATGAGTTCCAGGATATTTGTTTGTTTATAAAAACACAACCCACTGTGACTCAGACCTTTCTAGCCTCAGTGTTATGTGGACAAAGATCCGAGGAGTAGCTGAAGAAGAGCAGCACTTTTCTGTCTTTGGATCCCCTCTCATTCTAAATGCCTAAATATTTGTACTTGTATTATAATTGCAAACTCTGCAGCGCCTGGACCTGTGCAAGTGCAGAGCATCACTGTTTCCAGTTGCCTCATTATTCGTTAGAAGGGACTAAATTCCGTAGGAGTACATCCTGAGGTTAATTGAAGATGTGCAGCATATGATTAAGTGGCCTTTTAGAAAATCTAGTTGCCGGATTTGGAATGGCCTTTCCGAGCTTCCTGAGCCCTTCAGGTGGGCCTGAGCCTCCAAACCAGGGGACAGTTTTTCTTCTTCAGACTGGCAGAGATAAGAACCACTGGCCCCTCTCCGTGGATGGTTTCTAGAATTACTCAGAGTTCCTCAAATCATAAAAAGCACTTGAGGCTGCTCTCAGCAAAGCTCTCTGAAACAAGTTTGATTTTTCATTCTATAGTGTTGCATTTCTGCTGGTTGCTCTAAAAGGGTCAAATACATTAAACATTTTAAAATGTGCATATTTTTCAATACTACCTGTCAATAAAGAGAGTAGATTTTAAATCACTTTTGGATTCAGCCCTCAATGTTATGATTTCCCATATAGTTAATGTTTTTAATATTGCAAAAAGTGTAATGTTCTTACAGTGTCCTGGTAATTTTTTCTGCTGTTAGCCTAATAATTAAGGTTCCTGGAGTTGAAAAAAAACCAAAAACGGTAGCAATTGATATGGGTTACAGTGTGTGAGGCACTCTGCTATGTTCCGTATAGATTCATTGATTTAAAACTCACAGCAGTCTTAAGAGGTCAGCATTATTCCAGTTTGACAGATTAGGTAACTTGAGTCCACAAAGGTAAGTTACTTGCCCAAGGTCACACAGTGACAGAGCCAGAACTAGAGCCCAGGCAGTCTGGTTCCAGAAACCCATTAGCCACTACAATAAACTGCCTCTTAGGTGGTACACAGGACATCGTTTATTTATTTCATTAAAGTCAAAAGGATAATAATGGTCCCTTACAAATAACTCTCTTTATAGCATCCCTGTGGGCACTGCTGTGCTCATTTCACAGATGGGGAAGTTGAGCTTCTAGTAAAATCATGGGTCCAGGTTCATGCAGCAGGTAAGGAGCTGGGATTTGAACCGAGTCCTCTGTGATTCCAAGGCCCCTCTGACCTCCCTGTGCTATCTCATTGCAGCTCAGTTGAAAGGATTTGCATCTTGTTTAAATGTGGGATACAAAACCCTTCCTAAATGATTAGGAAGCCTTGAAAGGCTTCACAGGGGTGGAGATTTATAAAATACGGTATGCAAAAGCAATCCCACAATTCCATCATTTTCCAGTTTCAAACTCTTCATACCACTCGCATTTAAAATGAGCATACTTCATGAGATGACCTTTTACAACAGGAATATTATATGAAATGGGCTCTCTTATCCAAATAGTCTTCCCATTACATTGCTCTAAGCACTTGCTAAGTATATACTTCATATCCAGTAATTATCAACAGCTACCATTTCATTTCTAGATAATATTAGTCTCAACTCTGTTCTCCACTGTACAAGCTTTAAAAATATGCCCCCCCCAGCCAGGCACAGTGGCTCACACCTATAATCCCAGGACTTTGGGAGGCCAAGGCGGGCAGATCACAAGGTAAGGAGATCGAGACCATCCTGGCCAACATGGTGAAATCCTGTCTCTACTAAAACGTAAAACATTAGCTGGGGGTTGTGCTGTGTGCCTGCAGTCCTACTTGGGAGACAGAGATGGGAATCACTTGAACCCGGGAGGCGGAGGTGGCAGTGAGCCAAGATTGCACCACTGTACTCCAATCTGGCAACAGAGTAAGACTCCATCTCAAAGAAGAAGAAAAAAGGCCTAGCCTATGATTTCAATTTACTTACAACTTTTCTTAGCAAGTGTTCCAAAGAAATGTCTACTTGGAGCCCAGTCTCTTAGAGAAAAGGTGGGAAAAGACAGTGTCTTTCACCACAAAAGCATATTGCCGCTCCTGGTGGTTATTTTCAATGGTAATGAACAAGCCAAACAGGAGAAATTCTCCCAGCCATATTTCCTCTGGAGGGCATTGGCAGCTACGGCTAAATAAAGTTCAGAGCTCAGCTTCTATTTGGTATCAAAGCCCTGCTGCAGATGAAGAGCATCCCCCATGAAAGCTGCTCTTTGTCTTTAGTGGCCGAGCCTCAGGCCAGCATAGAAACCAACAGGGAACCCTGAGAGGATGGGAGAGAGGACACTAGAGTCACGATTCAACAGTGGCAGTTTTGCCCCAGTTTGTATAATTCTTAGAACGTTAAAGAACTTTGGAATTTGTATTTTTATCTAGCAAGGATCTGAATACTTTTAAAGACAATTTTCTGATGTAGCATTTATTTCCTGGTGTTCCTCAATTCACAAATATCTGTTAGAATTTGTTCAAGTAGGCCAGGTGGCTCAAACCTGTAATCCCAGCACTTTGGGAAGCCGAGGTGGGAGGGTCACTTGAGGCCAGGAGTTCAAGACCAGCCTGGCCAACATGGTGAAATCCCATCTCTACTAAAAATAGAAAAATTATCTGGGCAGTGGCATGGGCCTGTAGTCTAAGCTACTTAGGGGGCTGTGGTGAAAGGATCACTTGAACCCAGAAGGCAGAGGATGCAGTGAGCCAAGATCATGCCATTGTACTCCAGCCTGGGTGAGAGAGTAAAACTCTGTCAAAAAAAATAGCAAAAAAAAAAAAACTTTAGTTCAAATAACTACAGTGAGATTTTCCAGAGGTTAAACTAATGCAAAAAACAGTTTATGCAGGAAAGATTGTTTTTTATAATTTTTATAATTATTATTTACTTTTAGATTGTTTTTAATCGTAAAATAAATCTTAAAAGTGAGACAATTACTGTAAGCTTTGCTGAATTTTAATATCATAGATATTTTTTCAAAACAGGCTTACACAGGAGGAAGAAAAGATCCTGGGACCTGGTTATCTAAACTCCGTAAAATGAGCTACGAGTCCTCAGTGTCCTCAAATGGACAGATTTAAAAGATCTCAAACTTACACATTCTTCAACTTTGGCTCAGTTTTGTTTGTTTTTAAATAATTTTACCTAGAAGCACCATAAGGAGAAGCTTATTCCTCTTTCTCAGTGGTAAAGCAAGCTATTAAAGTGATTAAAAAACAGTCTAAGGCCACCTCAGACTATTTGCCAGTATGCGTTAAATACATTACATGCAGCGGCACTCTTGCTGTGCAGGTGGTCCTAGCCTGATGCTCCTGTCCAGCTTTATTGCCCCACCGTGTCTCCCTCATCCGGCTCTCATTAACCTTCACCTTCCAGCCTTACAAAGCTCCAGCCACTCTTCAGCTATGTTAGACTCCTCTTGCTTCTTCCTTTCTCATTTATCTAGTGAGCCTTTTATTCTCCAAGTCTCAACTTGTTCTATGCTCCCAGATTTACAGCATCTTCCTTTCCCTCTAGAAGGCAACATATCCACACCTTCATTCCACTATTTATCATGTTATATTATTTTGTATTTAAATGTCCATTTCCCACCTGACTACGGGCTTCTTAAGAGCACAAATGGGGTCTTCTGTCTGATCCGAAGCCCAAGGTATAGTATCTGGTGCAGACAGGAGCCTCATTACTGCTTGTGGAAGAGTGGGAGGGAATGCAATATGGCTTTGTCAATTACCCAAATAATTAGAGGGAGCTACCTAATCTTTTTTATTAATTAAAAAGGGCACAGTGGTTTCACCATTAAAAATTGACCGCTTAGTTTAGACCCATTACAGGTTCGGTATCCCTTATTTGAAATTCTTGGGAACAAAAGTGTTTTAGGTTTTAGACTTTTTGGGTTTGGGAATATTTGCATATATATAATATGTTACCTTGGGAATGGGACTCAACTCTAAACATAAAATTCCTTTATGTTTCATAAATACCTTACATATGTGGCCTAAAGGTAATTTTATACAAAATGTTGAATAATTTTGTGCATGAAACAAAACGTTGATTTTTTTTTAACTGTGACCCATCACATGAGGTTGAGTATGAAGTTTTTCACTTGTGGCATCATGTCAGTGCTCAAAATGTTTCAGATGCTCTAGAGAACATTTCAGATTTTGGATTTTTAGGTTAGGGATGCTCAACCTGAACTAGACTAACAGTAACCACTGAAAACATTAAATAGATCTAAACTGAGATTATAAATATTACATAGCAAAGATACATGTACAAAATTTATAAATAACTCAGGTGGGGATTTTTTGAAATTACCTTTTCACAGCATATTATACAGCCATTAAAATTAAGTTTCTAATGAATATTGTATGACACAACAAAACATTTGTGATGTGATTAGTAGAACAAGCTACAAAAGCCTATTCAAACCTACCCCAGTTTGAATAAAAAGTATGTATGCGTATAACTCCTTAAAAATGGAGTGTGTGTGTGTACATATATATTTGGAAGCATTTTTATGGAGTTATATTTTTTCTTTTTATATTCATTTATTTGAGACAGGGTCTCATTCTGTCGCCCAGGCTGGAGTACGGTGGCATGATCTCAGCTCACCTCAGCCTCCATCTCTTGGGTTCAAGTGCTCTTTCCACCTCAGCCCCCTAAGTAGCTGGGAGTACAGGTACATGCCACCTTGCCCAGCTAATTTTTGTATTTTTAGTAGAGAGACTTTCACTATGTTAGCTAGGCTGAATTCCTGAGCTCAAGCAATCCATCTACCTTGGCCTTCCAAAGTGCTGGGATTATAGGCATGAGCCACCACACCTGGCCTTTTTATATACTTTCCTGTTTAAATTGTGACTATTTATAATGAATACATATGACTTGTGTAATGAAGAAACAAGGTGTCTTTTTATCTTTTGCCAGAAACCCTATTTTAATACCTAACTTCTTCCCTTTTGTTGCTCTCTTTCTAATAGAAATGTAAACCCTATAGGGGAAGGGTGGGTGGTTATAATTATTAATACTTCTTTTAGAATTTCCAGAATAAGATAATATGAGATAGGAAAGCATAGAGGTGATTTTCCTTGCTACTTTAAGTCAGGAAATGATAAATCGTCTTATGAAAGAGATATGAAGAAAAGTTTTTTAAACATCAATGCACAGTATAGCTGGCAATGTGTTTTCCTGCTTATCTGAAATAATAAAGTTCTTTCAAACAAATAGGCAAACTATACAGCATAGTTTTTTGGGGGGGCTGGTGGTGGTGGTTTTGAGACAGAGTTTGCTTTTGTTGCCCAGACTGGAGTGCAGTGACACAATCTCAGCTTACTGGCACAACCTCTGCTTCCAGGGTTCAAGCAGTCCTTTTGCCTCAGCCTCCCAAGTAGCTGGGATTACAGGCATGCACCACCACGCCTGGCTAATTTTGTACTTGTAGCAGAGACAGGGTTTCTCTATGTTGGTCAGGTTGGTTTCGTACTGCCGACCTCAGGTCATCTGCCCGCCATGGCCTTCCAAAGTGCTGGGATTACAGGCATGAGCCACTGTGCCCAGCCTGTGTAGCATAGTTTAATGGCTAGATGGCCTTGCCATTCTTCTCTCTGATGGCTTCTCTATCCAACACTAGAACAGCCTAATCTTTTTGAGGAAATAGAAGACAGGAAGGTCTTTGGGCACTTAACAACTGAACAGACACACAGCAGCTACCTCGGAATAGCTACACCAGCAAAAGCAGCCTGTTCATTACTTCAGACACCAGACCACAGTCTGAACGCACATTCAGCAAGTTAAGTTTTTGTTATTTCTCATTCTTAGCAGCTTGAGCATTTCCCCTGAGGCCCATCTGAAATCAGGCCTGGTGTCTGCCCACTTGCCAACTGAGGAATTCATTTCTCATTGCTCATCTCACATGGGGAAAGCAAAGTTGCATTTCAAATGCAGTAGTACCTCCAGATCTCTTGGGTACCCATCACACCTCCCTACCTCTCCCACAGGCCTCTGAGCCTTTCTCAACCTGGCAGGTGCCTCCAGAGTTCCACAGCCGCCTTCTTGTTCTTTCCTCACCAGGCCGGATACCCAGAGCCGTGGCTTCCATCAACCAGCACCTCCTGAGATCAGATGACGTGGTAAGCTGCTGCCTGGACCTCGGGGTGCCCAGCATCTCATTCCGCATCAACGGGCAGCCTGTGCAAGGGATGTTTGAGAACTTCAACACAGACGGGCTCTTCTTCCCTGTGATGAGCTTTTCAGCAGGTGTCAAGTAAGTTATTGCTGTGATTTCATGGACAGTAGCAGTTACCCACCTCCCCACCACCACTGTGAGCTTCGGAGCCAGCAGTCTCCTTCAGGGCTTCAGCACTGTGCACCAAGTTTCCCAGGACAGTGATAGTGCAAGGGCGAGAGCCATCCAAAGTCATTTGCTTCATCTCTACTGGTAGAACCTCCTCCAGGAGTTGTGTTATGTACTCAGATAAACAGTAAGATAAAGAGGATGAATCCTGTGTAGAAAATTAATAATTATCAAAGTATTACATGCTCAGTATAAGAAAAACTTCAAAGACATAGTTATAAAGAATACAGTAAAAATCACCTGTGATTCCAATGGTTGACTATAATCTCTATTAATACTTTGGCATATTTTTCAAGTCTTTTTTTTCTACAAATATATGTCTATTTTTTATTTGGTATCGCCCTGAATATGAAATTTATATCTTGATTATCTTTTATTCAACAATAAATAATGAGCCTTTTCCTGAGTCATTGAGTATCCTCAAAATGATTTTATGGCCATATACTATCCCTTTATTTGGCTGTTTTATAATACAGCCATTACTCTGCTGTTATAAGTCTATGTCAATTTCATTTTTATTGTTGTAAATTCTTATGAATATCCTGAAGCATAACTCTTTGTGTGTTTCTGTTTTGTTCCTCCTTGAAATTGGTCAAAATGCATGAACCTTTTAAAGTCTACATTTATAATTATGTTGCCAAATTGATTTTGAGAAAGATTCCGTGAACAGTTGAGAATTCCCTATCAACAACTTTAGAATCTAAAAATCTCTGAAAACCATAAATGTGTTCATAACTCATTTTGTCGTAAAATCTAACCTGAACTCATTTTGTGGCAAAACTCTCATCAGCAGAAATGAGGCCGTTTTCAGTCTTTGATTTATTCTACTACTTGTGAATATTTATATGTTTAACTGCAGACATATTAATGTGTTTGATTCTGATGTACTGCCCCTCATCTGGCTGCAGGTTATGTTTAATATAACATGTTCCTTTTTAAAAAATTCTAAAGAATTCGAAAGTCTGAAGCACATCTCTAGTGATTTCAGATAAAGGATTTGGGCTTGCAGTATTACTTAAAGCAACATATGGGAAGAATGTTCACCTGATTGGACCCTCATTAAATTTTACTGTTATTAGTGGTGGTTAAATATTTGCTGATTTGGAAAAATAGTACCTTAGAGTATTAATTTTTTTTATTACCAGTGTGGTTAAACATTTTTTATGTTTAATTTTATGTACTTTTGTCAACACAATATTTTTGCTAACTTGGTGTTCTCAGCCTTTCTGATATTTATTTTTTGCTAGGTATCTTACATATTTGTGTATATTGACTTTAGGTATGTAATTTATTTACTTATTTACATATAATAATTTTGTATTTAAGGCTGTTAATCTATTTTTATTGACTTCAAATATTTATCCCAGTTTCTGATTTATCCTTTAACACTTGAGTTTTTCCTAATGTGTTTTGTTTTTCTGTTTCACAAAAGGAATGTAAGTCAAAGAAAATAGCAGAAACCCATAAGAGTACCACCCAGAGATAATCATATTAGCTTTTTACATACACAGTTAAATATTGTTCATTGAGTTGGGCTCATGCTATGCATGCTGCTTTCCTATTTAATGTTGCTAACTATTTCTCTGCCTCTTTCCTTGTACCAGTTGGATGCTATTTTTAATGATTTTAACCACGTTATACATTTTAATGTCTGTAAGGCAAAGCCCCGTAATAACCCCTCCCTGAACTTTTCTCAGCCATTCTTCATCCCTGTATTTTAAAGACATCGCAATCCGTTGAGCAGAAGACTGGAGTCAACATAGAATCATGCTAGTGTCCATGGAAGCCCATGGAAAGGGTCATGACAGGAGGAGAGTTGTGGGAAGCAGGGGCTGAGATCTGGTATCACAAAGAAACTGTTTCAGGGATCCAGATCCAAGTGATAGGATTTTCAGGGAGAAACCACTCTTTTAGGCCTCAGCACCTCATGTGGACTGGTAAACCAAGATGTGTTCATATGTTTCCAAAGGAGGATTTTGGTTCTGTTTCAATTATATTAACTGTTTAGAAGTAAAGAATTGTCCTTTGTGAATGGTACTCAACCTTTGGAATTTGGGACAGATGTGTATATATACACAAGCATATATACAAACATACTCATATAAATGGATATAACCCCAATACCAATATATAATTTTAATATATATTGTTATTATTTGAGGTTCTTGTAACAAATGGAGAACCAGTAGAGTAAAGCTTTACTGAGGTTGAAAATCTTCTCATCACAGATTCAAGCCAGAGAATCTCACACTATCTGCAGACACTGTATCCTAAGAGTTGAAAGTTGTTCTGTGCTGAAGATATTTCATCCCATTTCTTTCTTTTTAAATATGTGAGGAAACCACATATTGCTCTCCTCACTGATATCCCTAAGGAGCATATGGGAAAACAGGAAGTGTGTTGACAAGAGAGGCACTGTAAGCGTAGAAAAAGCTGATTGGAGCAAAGGCCTTCCGGAGGAGGGAAAGAACCTTCTAGCCCTATTTTCCATCTTCCTCACTCCATTCCTTAGGAATAAAGAGAATGAGTAGAGAATGAGTAGAAATCTAAATACAACACAACAGTGTTAGGGTCATCCTCCCTTTGACTCAGGGCCTTCCCTGAAGAAACAAGGTGACTCTGAGCAGTCAGTTCCCAGGACTGCATTTGCCTGTGTAGTTGGGGGCCTTGGTCACCTACCATTAATATTCCTCCCATTTTTACTCATTTTGCCCATGTCCCATTCATTGTTTTTTTTACTTATTTTCAAAGGGAGTATACCTATTTCACAAGCATGTCATCTGAAAAAAACTACTTAGGTGAATTTAGATCTGTGGAGAAGGGATCTTCTCCAGTCTGCTGGCTAACGGACTTTTCCATGTTTTTTGTTTAGAGAACAGTACTTCTGCTCTCAAATGTTGCATAATGATTCTTAATCATTCGTTCATCCTTCCCATCTCCCTCAGAATGACATAAGGATTCTTGTGTCTGTGATTTTTTAGGGGGTAGTGCAGGGATTTTTTTTTGGAATCCTCTCTTGACAAGAGCTGCAGTTAGCAGGTGAAAAAGTAATTGTCTGAAAGGTATCCACATGTAGAAGACATTTCTATCATCTGGTGTCTAGGTCAGCAGATCATGCAGCCTCCTGAGTGCACAGATGAAAGAGAAGCAAAGTTGCAAGAGAAGAAAAATGAGATGACTAATCATTTAGGAGGCACAACTGCTCAGGAAATTTAAGAAACTGAAGGGTCCAGATGTGTTGACTTGAAAAATCAACAGCTTAGCTCTGAGAGCTTTTCACTTATAGCAGCTGAACAGGTGGTAGGCTGAAAAGCAGTGCCAGTAGGGTGTGCAGGTGGGCTTGAAGTCACTGAAGCTTCCTGTCTCTGAGATAACTATCTGCCCTGATATATTGCTGGCTTCGGGTCTTATAGCATGTTGTGATTTCAAAAGCGGTGGAATCACAGGGCTCTGCATAGTTGGGAAATACATTTTACTGAAATGCATCTAGTACCTCACATGATGACCTTGGTCAGGGTCAGTGCAGGACCTGTACTGGGGACTAGCCAGTTGCTCATAAATGAGAATGAACCAATTGGTTACTCTACAACACAAAGTGTTACTCTTACATCAACTGCTGAAGTATGATTTGGTGCTGAAACCCAGTAGTTCTTCTCTGTACTACTTTAGTTCAGTTGAGCAAAGAGCTACAAAGAGAAACCACAATGTGAATTCCAAGTTAATTAAAGTATCTTATTGAAAATAAATGTGTTTTATAATGAAATTGAAAAGAAATTATTGTTTCATCCAATACTGTAGAACACTTGCCTGGTTTTTATAGCATCTCTCCCAGCAAGATGCAAGGTGTTAATGCCCATCTAGAGAGAGATTCTTCTTCTCCAATCATAGAAGTCTTCAGAGTTGTTTCTCATATTTATTTTTAACTTCTGTATGGCTTCAAATTAGATTTCTCTTTCACAGTCCTGTTTCCTCCTGTTTAATGGTCTTTACAAAGATCCTTGTCTTAATTGTTTAAATAATTTGTATACTTATAAGCTATGTTGTTAATAATACCTAATTAGGATGTCCCTGCCAGCCGTCACTGAAGAGCAAAGCCACATGAAGAGCAAAAATCTTTTTCAATTAGATTTACCCACAGTGAAGTCAGAGTTAGCATTAGTAATTACTGACAAAACCCACAAATCAATGTCATAGCCTCTTTTCTTTTAAGGAATATGCCTCCATAATTTTCTTGTCAGTGTGGTTTGTTTATAGACAGTATTATTAGTGTAGTAGGCCCCCAATGTAACAACCCTATTCATTATAGAATAGAATTTGGAATGAGGTATTTGTACCTTGTAGCCCACCAAAAAGATAGAATTACTTAGATGCCAAGAGGCTCTTACTAAAAGTTGATCTTATATATGCCCCACAAATGGCATCAGGGCATGAGTTAGAGAGCATTATGCAGAAAGCCATAGTATATAGTGAAATTTTGGTGCTAATTTTTTTTTTTTGCAGAAAATTAATGAGTTAGTCATCATAGTAGAATATATTTTATGGCTATAGTTAAACTCCCATAAATCTATTTAATCATCTTACATAACTCTTTTGCCAGCTTTAATTTATAAAAATAATCATATCCAAAGATAGCATTTGTGGTTGCTGTTGGTTTTTTGTTGTTATTCTCCAGACTGGGCTGAAATTCAGGTAACCAACAGCTTAGCTATTTCCAGCTTGCTGTGGTCAGTGCTGTGGAAATTATTGCTGAGATAAATATACTTCTGCAGAGAACGTGACGAGCAGTGGCTGGATTGCCCTGAGCTTTCATCAAATACTAGCCAGAAAGAAATATGAATGTGGGAATGTCCATAACTCAGATTGTTCTCCAGTCTTAGCGATACAGGCTAAAGATGCAATTATGAATCGTG